TGGATTGACAACACAGAACGACAATTTTCCCTCTTGATTTGCTCTTTATGATAGACTAGGTTCCAAATGGCTATGTTTACTTGAGTGTTGAAAGGTACTGTTGAAACGATGTGAGAAAAATCCCATTTTAAGAACAGTGTTACCAGATTACTTTAAATTTCTCCCAATGTGTTAATAAAATGCAGAGCTGGGACTCGGCGTTTTTGTGCTGGAGGCAAGTTTTCTTTGGAGGTTTCCTTTCCCTCTGTTTTCCTTTATGGACTGTCAGATGGTGGAGTCTCCTTTGGAGTCCTCAGGGTCAAGCTCATTTGAAGTGGAAATTATTTCTTGTTCATCTTTGAATAAGCATGTAAAGTGGTCATCTTTCTTGCTCAAGAGATCTTAACTTTGATCATCTTAGCAGCAACAGTTGCTGTGGACAGGTACTCTGCCAAGCATTTATCACGCATTATCGTAAGCCTAGGAGGCAGGGACTATTGTCATTCTCATTTTATAGGAAAGGAATCTAAGATCAGAGATGTTGAAGACTTGCCCGATTTCATGCAACTAGAAATTGAATTTGACCCAGGCCTTTCCAAATCCACGTTCAGGCTCTTTTAACCTCTGTAATCTGCTGTCACTACCAGGGCTGTTGAGCTCCCTGTCTTTCTTCACAGACCTGTTTACCCAAGTTTGTCTTCCTGAGACTTGCAAGAATAATTTTTAATTTTCTTTAATGCTTCTTACATTTTTGCTTGGAAGTAATAATACTCTTAGTTTCTCTTAGTTTCTTTCTCTCTCTGGACAATCTGAGATTTTAGAATTCAGAATTGGTTTTAGGATTTTTACAGATATTTCTTGAGCTTTTACCCACTGTGTTTTTCACCTGAGTACTTTGTCTTCCATGAATATTTCTTACACTTTGGGCCATGACTCATTGAACAGGAAAATACAGTCACTGAATTGAAAAACAATACTAATGGCATAAAACTTAATAAGTCAACTTAGATCTTTTTTTGGTTTCAATCAAAGGCTTAGAATATTTTAGCTATTTCTGTAAGAAATGTTCATATTACAAGAAGAGTGAATGAGCTATTAAATAAAATATGCAGTCGTAAGTCATTAGCCTTGGGTTATCATCTGAATTTTCCTTTTGATTTATTATGTGGGAGAGAATAAATTTTCTTCTGTCCCTTTTACTCCTATGTGTCTCCTCCTCCTCCTCCTCTTTATTACTATCATTTCAGTGTCTGGAAATTAGCCATGATATCATTTCTTTCCAGCTTTATTGAGATATAATTAACATATAACATTGTATTAGTTTCAGGTGTACAACATAATGATTTGATATTTGTCCATATTGTGAAATGCTCTCCACCGTAAATTTAGTTGACATCCATCTCCTTATGTAGTTACAAATTTTTTTCCTTGTAATGAGAACTTTTAAGATCTACTCTCTTAGCAACTTTCAAATATATGGTATAGTATTATTACCTATAGTCACCATGCTGTACTTTACATCCCCAGGACTTACTTATCTTATAGCTGGGAGTTTGTACCTTTTGACCACCCTTACCCATTTCTTCCACCCCCAACAGCAAACTCCAATCTGTTCTCTGTTTCTATGAGTTCAATTTTTTTTTAATTCCACATGTAAGTAAGATCACATGGAATTTGTCTTTTCCTGTTTGACTTATTTCATTTAGCATAATGTCTCAAGGTCTCCCCGTGTTGTCACAAATGGATAATATTCCATTGTGTATATATATATACCTACATACCACCTTTTCTTTATCCATTCATCTGCTGATGAACACTTAGGTTGCTTCCACGTCTTGGCTATTGTAAATAATGCTGCAGTGAACGTGGGAGTGCAGATATGTTTCAAATTAGTGTTTTCATTTTCTTCAGATAAATACCTAGAAGTGGGATTGCTGGATCATATGGTAGTTCTGTTTTCAACTTTTATTTTTTTTGATGAGGAAGATTTGCCCTGAGCTAACATCTGTTGTCAATCTCCCTCTTTTTTTTTTTCTGGAGGAAGATTAACTCTGAGCTAACATCTGTGCCAATCCTCCTCTGTTTACTATGTGGGATGCCTCCAGGGCACGGCTGTTGAGTGGAGTAAGTCTGAGCCTGGGATCTGAAGCCACCAAAGTGGAGCATGCAGAACTTTAACCACTTGGCCACAGGGCTGGCCCTTGTTTTCAATTTTTTGAAGAACCTCTGTACCATTTTTGATGGTGGCTGCACCAATTTACATTCCCACCAACAGTGCACAAGGATTCCCTTTCCTCCACATCCTCGCCAACACTTGTTATTGCTTGTCTTTTTGATAACAGTCATCCTAACAGGTGTAAGACGATATCTCATTGTGATTTTGATTTGCATTTCCCTGATGATTAGTGAAGTTGAACAACCTTTCATTTGCATGTTGGCCATCTGTATGTCTTCTTTGGAAAAATGTTCATATCCTCTGCACATTTTTAAATCAGATTTTTTTTTTTTTTTGCTGTTGAACTGGATGAATTCTTAATACGTTTTGGATATTAACCCCTTACCAGAAAAATGATTTGCAAATATTTTCTCCCACTCTACAGGTTGCCTTTGCATTCTCTTGATGGTTTCCTTTGCTGTGCAAAAATTTTTAGTTTGATGTAGTCCCACTTATTTACTTTTGCTTTGCTTTTGTTGTCAAATCCAAAAAATAATCTCTAAGACTGATGTCAAAAAGCTTACCACCTGTGTTTTCTTCTAGGAGTTTTAAGGTTTCGTGTCTGATGTTCAAGTCTTTAATCCATTTTGAGTTGATTTTTGTTTATGGTGTAAGATGGTGATCTAGTTTCTTTTTTTGTGTGTGTGTGGGTGTCCAGTTTTAGCAACACCATTGATTGAAGAGATTGTCCTTTCCCTATTGTATATTCTTGGCTTGTTTGTCGTAAATTAATTGACTGTATATGTGTGGCTTTATTTCTGGGCTCTCTATTCTGTTTCATTGGTCTATGTGTCTGTTTTTCTGCCAATATTATACAGTTTTGATTACTATAGCTTTGTAACATAGTTGGAAATCAGGAAGTGTGATTCCTCTGGCTTTGTTCTTCTTTCTCAAGATTGCTTTGGTTGGGGCCAGCCTTGTGGCTGAGTGGTTAAGTTCATGCACTCTGCTTCAGCAGCCCAGCGTTTTGCTGGTTCAGATCCTGGGCATGGACATGGCACAGCTTGTCAGGCCATGTTGAGGTGGCGTCCTACATGCCACAACTAGAAGGACCCACAACTAATATATATATACACAACTATGTACTGGGGGGATTTGAGGAGAAAAAGCAGAAAAAAAAAAGATTGGTAACAGTTGTTACCTCAAGTCCCAATCTTTAAAAAAAAAAATATTGCTTTGGTTATTTGGGGGTCTTTGAGCTTCCATACAAATTTTAGGATTGTTTTTTCTGTTTCTGTAAAATATAGCGTTGGAATTGCAGGATACAAAATCAATATACAAAAATCAGTTGAATTTCTCTACACTAATAAGGAACCATCAGAAAGAGAAAAAGAAAACAATCCCATTTAAAATGGCATCAAAAGAATAAAACAACTAGGAATGAATTTAACCATGGAAGTGATAGATCTCTACGCTGAAAACTATAAGACATTGATGAAAGAAACTGAAGAAGACACAAATAAATGGAAAGATATTTCATATTCATGGACAGGAAGAGTTAGTATTGTTAAAATATCCATACTACCCAAAGCAATCTACAGATTCAATGCAGCCCCTAGCCATGATATTATTTACTCTGTCTATTTACAATAATATTATAAGGATTTGCAAATTAATTAATTTGTTGGAAGAGGGTATTTTCACCCTAATGAAATGAAACATCTCCTCTCCTCTTCTTCTATCCCCACCATTTTAGAAGGAAGATTTGCTCATAAAATATATTAAATTTTGGGGGAAAGCTGCTACACGTATGTTCTCAAAATGAGCCCTTCTAGAGGGCAGGTGAATCAAGCTGAAGCAAATTTTTTCTATTGTACCAGGACGGAGAGGGAAGGAGGACACTGAAAGTGTAAACGCTAAACTATTGATAGAAGTTGCCGCTGGTCTATGGGACTAATTAGTATGCTGATGGAAGATATATATATATATATAAAAGTATAAAATATATATAAAATGTGATCTTATATCAATATAGAATTTTAATACGTTCAATTGTGGCAAATTGTTAATTCTTGAAAATTTTCACAATTCTTTGAAAAATATTTCTGCTAAAATGAGAGAGAATATATTCATCTCAAGCTTTTTCTATTCGACTTCTGCACATACCTTCATTAATATAAGTGTGTGGCTATGCATACTTTTTTTTTAGAAACCAAGCAATTTCACTTCTATTCAAATGTACTGTGCAGAAAATTTGGGCAAATGTTTTTAGCTTAATAAAATAATTGCTTTTTGAATAAAATAGAACATTATTAATGTTTGTTAATTACATTGATATTCATGATATATGGCAATTATACTTTGACAAATACTGCAAATGATGTGTAACAACATATTTTGAGGGCAAGCTTAACTTTTAGGTCACACATGGTTGCTAAGCATAATGTGCTACTTCAAATTTATTGTGATGATCTCAGGTGTAAATCTAGCTATGATATCAATTTTGGAAATTTTTCATGTTGAAAATTTGCCTCTTTATTACATTGACCCAAAATTTTTTATAAAATTGAAAATAAAGATGAAGCAAAAGGCAAAAATTTTCAAATTTGTGAGAGCTGCTACCTAGGTGAGTACTGAAATATCAGGGAACTACTGGATATAACACTTCTGGAGCTTTTGTACAATGCAAAAACTTATTTCATGTTCTTTGGTTCACCTTCAACAACGACAGAAGCAGCAACGATAACAGCTAATGTTTATTGAACAATTGCTATACATCAGACAGTATGATAGGCGCTTTGTGTGTATCATCTTATTTAATTGACAATAATAATATGCAATAAGCAATGACATGTATGTTTTACAGATGAAGAAAGAGGCTCAGCCAGGAAGGTTGGTTGGCAGAAGTTCACGTAGCTAAGTCAGTGGAACAGCCGGGATGAGAACCCGTGTCTGTTCAGTGTCGAAGATGGTGCTCTTAACCATCCTGCTCTTCGTCAATATGGTAATAGTGGCCCGAAAGAACACTGGCACACCCTAAAATTAACCCTTTTCCTCCCTTGGCATTAAATATACACTCAGTAGTTCATACGTATGAAATCTGTTAGGGCTGTATACCAGAAGATGGAAACGTTTTCAGCTGTTAGAAATACACTTTACTGAAGAGATCATTAATATGGGGGAAAAATAAGCATTTGACTATTTTACATTAAAATGTTTTTGAAGTTTTACAAAGAAAAATTAAACAAAACCTACATTTAAGGAGTTACAGCAACATCTTTACTGTTTGGAGAACACTAACATTTACAGAAGACTGACGTTTCCTCACTGTCATTGTAAAGAAGCCCACGGCCAGTCCTGTTTGCAGTAGGAAGCCCTGTTTACTAACTCGGAAGGGATGAAAGAATCAGAGACTCTTATAACTGGAAGAGACCTTAGAAGTCATTCAGACAAATAGCTTGACGTTTTCCAGACAGATGCTCGTGTCATTTTCCCTTAAACACCTCCAGTGATGGAGTGCGCCCTGCCTCCTGGGGCCTCGCATTCCACTTCAGCAGCTCGTCTAAAGGCCTTTCTTTCAGCTGAGTCCAAATCTATGTCTGTCATTTCCACCCCATTGTTCCCTTTCCTTTCCTTTTCCCAATGACAGCCCAAATCTTCTTTTTCTGGCTCCTATTCCCCTTTTTTTTTTCCAGTTCTTCCTTATGTAAAATGATTTGGGATCCTTTTGTCACCCTGATGGATTTTCAGTTTATCCTCCATGTTTTTAAAATCTTCATCCTTAAGTGTGTGGCTCCAAACCAAAGACAATGCTCAAAGAATTGTTAGCAAATTGCAGAATAAAAAAGTACTGCCATCTTTCTTCACCCATAGAGCATGTTTTATGTGAATAATATATATATGTGTGTGTGTATATGTATATATATATATACACACACACAAACACTAAATGTGATAATTTCATGCACAATCCAAAGGACTATTTTAAAACTCTGGGTATTAAAAATATATATTAGGGATTTGAGACTGCAAAAAGAGAAGATTAGTGGAGTCAAGAAATAAACTGTTGAGAAGTTTGAGGAGGAGGCAGCTGAGATGGGGAAGGTCTCCCTCATGCGCCTCCAGAGTTTTGGGAAGACCCCTGGGAATGCGATATCACCATTAACAGCTCCCAGTGGGAGACTGGAGACCTACAAACACTATGTGAGCCATACCGATGGCCTGGGACGTAAAGAATTAATATTCATAAACTGATTACAGATACCGCACTTTTGTTGCATTTATAGCTGATACTTCAAGGAATATTGTTCTAATGTCTATGATTGTTGCTGTTAGCAAGTATGTTCCACAAAGTCACCCTAGAGCCTGGCAAGATATGAGGAAATTGTCAACTGAGTCAATCACTTCAAGAAAGCTGACTACAATGCATACAGGTAACAATCATCCCAATTTTCTTTTCAAATTGTGACAAAATGCTGGAGTCAAATTCTGATATCCTTTCACTCTTGGGGTAAATTTTGGGGATATCATATCACCAAATTAGCCAACTTACAAGATCTATTGTCTATTCATCCAGAACGTCTTTAAACTTGAAATAAGCCATTTCTATGGGCTTTCTGCAGAGTAGTGTTCTAAGGCCAAGCACAGTGCTTACCTTTGGTCCAGTCAAATGGTCAACTGAAGTGGACTCTGCTAAATAACACCAGGACAGTTTAGCATAGTTAGTTCACCAGGAGACGATATGGGCTTCACCACTGAGAATGTGTCTGCAAAGTGGTTGGTGACAGCAAGAAAGCCCACTGACAAGTAAATGGCAAAGAGTAGGATATATTGGAGTACCTGAGGAAGCCACTTGGTGTAAACCTAATTTGGCCTGGCTTTGTTTTTCCAACAGGGCCTGACATGGCTGTTGAGCATGCAGTGTATATCTGATTTAAGCATATGCTGTGTCCCAAAGGCAGAAGAATTGGCCTTAAAATAAAGATACAACTTCTCCCACATTGGCATTTCCTTAAGGATAAGCATCTTTCCTTAGGCTAGGAACTGACTGCTGTGCGCACCTGTGACCACCCAGCTCACTTGTGACCACCCCGCTCACCTGTGACCACCCAGCTCAAGACAATAGACCTGCCAGCCTGCTGTGTCCACTGAGACAGCAGACCTACCTGCTGTGTCCATCAATCGCTGTGCCGTCAGAGCGGTCTCGTGACCATTGTAAAAGGATGCTTTGTGAAACATCCTCTTTGAGGGTATACAACCACTCTGTGCACCCCACTTCTTTGGTGCCCTTCCTTCCTTGGGGAAAGAAGGCCTGGGCTATATGGTCCTCATCTGGCTCAGAATAAACTCACCTCAATTTTCATTTATGTATTTGTTGTGGATTATTTACACCGACATCACCAACGGCAGTGACTTGCTCCACCGCACCAGTCATCGCCTGAACCACCCAGGCCAGCTGGCTCTATATTCATGTTTGATTTTGTATTCTTCACACCGCTTACAAGTTTACTTGGTTTAAGGGGAAGATGGCCATCTTGGTAAGAAGCTAGAAGAAGGACTCAAATTCTTGAAAGCAGATGATGGTTCTGATGTTGAGACATTTTCATGTAATGTGTGTGCTGTGTTTATCTTCAAGGCATGTCAGGAAAGCTGCTGGAAACGGCAAGAGACAGTCTTCCCAGATCTCCAGCCAACCCAATCTCAATCAGAACAGTCTCAGAAATGTTCATCTCAAATGACCATTCAAGCTTAATAGTTTAAAACAGAGGAATGACGACAGCATCCTGTAAAAATTAGAGGGGAAAAATGTTTGTGGATCATTTGTTCTGTGGTTATTGTCAGCTTTTGAAATCTGTATCTTTAAATGGAAAAAACTTAATAAAAAATCTGTACCAGGTTGAAAAAATTATTTTGAAGATTTTCAAGCACACAAAAGCAGAGGGAGTCACATAAGGGACCCCCACATACTCATCACCCAGCTTCAATAATTATCAACATTTTGTCATTCTTGTTTCATTTATTCATTTCCTTGGTTTTTATTTTCTAGATTATTATAAAACATACACATCATAGGCATCTCTGATAGCTAATTTCTCAAAAGTTTGAGAATATTAAAACAAAATTTAATGGAATGAAAAAAGAAATATTATAGGTAAATATTGCTACATATTTGCGTGCATCATTTCATTTGGTAAGAAAAAATTTCAGATGCTGCATTTTTTACCATCCAAAATATCTAATAGCAAAAAAATAACACCTCACTTTAAAAAACCAAACTAATCAGATTGCTCCCATGCCTCATGACACATGCGATGTTTCGAGCTCTAGATATGTCTTAAATCATGTGGTAAATTCTTCTAAACATAAACGTAATTCTTTATCTCTATAAGTGATAATTCTATAGTAAAGTTATTTCAAAGACTCTACTATTAGTCTTTTTCTTTGATTATTGTTTTTTGTTGGAAAATTGGTACACTTAATACAGTTCCTCAGCTTATCTCAAAATGCTATCCAAGGAGAAGAATATTTGTAGATTTAATAAGTCCATTTTCTATTTTAGGAACAATAAAAGTGTGTGCATATAGACATACATACTTATATAGGTGTGTACTATGTATATAAATATATTAACATGTACATATGTATACATTTATACATAATTAAGATATACACATCTTCTCAAGAAGATATACATATATACTATCGTATATGTATATATATTAAGAAGATACACATACAGACATACACACACTCAGTGTCTTCTTGAACAAGTACCCACATGTAAGCACTTCCGTTATCTCTTGTTGACATGCTGCATGGTTAAGATGTCCAACAAATCAGCCACCTGGGGACACCCTTGGGCAGCACACTTCTCTCCCTCCAGCCCGGATGCCACCCTGTGCTGTCCCTGTCACTGTGCTACCCTGAGTATCCTTGCCAGGACACCTGTGCCTTCACCTGCAGGCCTCCCGTCTGGTGAAGTGACAGCCTCTTCTGGTTTGCGCACCTGCTGGACTCACACTGCCCGCGTCCACACACCCTTTGCCTATGGGTGGCGTGTGGAGCTTGGAGAAAGTCAGACACCGGCCTAGGCGTGGAGGGCAACGGCGAGAATTCAGAAGGAAGAGAAGCAGACTTTCAATTGTGTGCTGTATGTGTTCGTGAAGATTTGCTGAACAGAACTGTGGTTTACATTATATATAAAAGGAAATCTAAAAAACATAACCCCTTTAATTCTGAAATTCAATTAATCAATGACAATGAAGTTTCCAAAGGTCCCAAAGAAATTTTTAAAATTGGGGCACACATAAAAGAGGCGTTTCTTTAAAACGGTGTGATTTCACACTTATTCTGAACTTCCCTGCGGCTTCTTGTGGTACAGAAATTAACCTGCAACACCTTTCCTATTTCTCTCCTGTGCTGTTTTTCCAATGATTAATGGCTTTAAAAAGGGAAAAAAAATCTGTTTCGCTTGAAACTACTTTCTCCAACTAGAAAAAATATAAAATTCTACTTTGCAAACCATTCTCTGCCCACTCATCTATTTTTTTTTTTGCAAAATTATCTACTGTAGTAAAAAAATAGTTAAAAAAATCAGGTTAAAAAACACAATTACAGCTACTTAACCATGTATTTAGTTTTATAAAGAATCTAGAAATGACAGGTATTTAAAAATATTTTTCCTTGTATCTCCTCAAAAAACAATCACTTTTGGATTTTATACGCAAAGTTCCAAAATTATCTAAAGACCTGGAGACTTTAGGGTAAGACGTAGTAATAGCAAACACGTAGTAAGAATAATCAGACGCTCCTTACTCCCACGGAATGTAACGTAAAACTCAGTCACACAAAAGTGCCATTGCTTTTCCCCACCAGTGCAGTTTGAAAGCAAAATTTTTGAAAGCTTAGGGAAAATGCTTAGTCATAAAATAGATCAATACTTTTAGGTTGCACCTACATACAGAAACCACTTTGATGTTTTTCCGTTATGATTTTCTTACCTGGGCTCCCTCCACTTCTCACACATGCTCGTTTACTGACCGCCCACTGTGCTCATGACGCTCAGCGTCTGCTACCCATCCTTCTCTAGATAGTTCAGCTTTGAATAATCTTCCTCTTTCAAGTTCTTATTCAAAATTAAACTTTTGTCCAAAGAAGCAGCAGTTAATGATCTACCATTTAAAAATTATTAATTAATTGCTTTATGTTTATTATACGTGTCATTTATACATAAACCTCAATATTACCATTTCTGGAAAAAAATCTCAACATTCATTGTAAGAGAACTCAACCCAATACTGCTCAAAGTGGTTTTACAGTACAACCTATGATTTAATATCACTAATAACTTGGATTGATTTTTAAGACTTGATCAATGAAGATTTAATCTCATAATCTAACCTTAACCACAAGAAGTGGACTCTTTTTTTTTTTTTTTTCTGTTGAGGAAGATTGGCCCTGAGCTAACATCTGTTGCCAATCTTCCTCTTTTTTACTTGAGGAAGATTGTTGCTGAGCTAACATCTGTGCCAGTCTTCCTCTATTTTATGTGGGATGCTGCCACAGCGTGGATTGATGAACTGTCTGTAGGTCCACACCCAGGACCTGAACCAGTGAACCCCAGGTTGCTGAAGCAGAGTGTGTGAACTTAACCAGTATATCACGGGGCCAACCCCTTGATTGTTCTTAATATTAGGAATTCAGTAATCGTTGAATGTTACAAAGTAATGAGTTACATGCAATCAATTAGAATCATTGAACAATTCTCCCAACAAATGAGCATAATCGAGGCCCACAAAAATTTGCTTTTGAGTTGTAAGTAATTAAAAGGCTGGAGTGCTCCCTTTATTCTTTTCAACAAATGTATTTATTCAGCTCCTGCCATTAGAAATTATTCTTTCCCCAATATTCTAATTAAAATTCCATTTAAGTACTTAATCCTTTTAACCTCTAAACAATATATTTCCTTAATGTGTATTTCTACATTCAAATTCATTCAAATTATTATTCAGTGTAATGTGGTTATATAGTCTCCTAGAGTAAGGTGAAATTTGTTTACTTAGAAATAATATATTGCTTTTGTCTATGGCAAGATTTCAGATGAGCCTGGAGCCTGTAGCCCAATTAATCTGGGGGAACATTTATCTTGAGTATCTCTGTCTTTTTTTCTCAAAGACAAAAATGAACTATGTTCAAAAATGAACACACATACTTCATTCTTCTCTTTTGTCTGACAGATTATCTTCCTTATGAACGTTTTTGGTTTTTTGATAAATATAATTTCTCTCTGTTGTTACTTAACCACTCTGGACCTTAATTTTCTCATCTGTAAAATGAAAGTAACAGTGGTTCCTTCCTCATGGGGTGCTGTGAGCTTTAAAAGTGTTAATACATATAAAACACTTTGAACAGGGCCTGGCACGTGGTGAATAAGTGTAACGATTACTACTGTTAGTTGTGGTGGCAGGTGGACGTGTTGCCACAAAGCAACACTGGTTGAAATAATGCTAAATAATCAGTATGTCTGACTTTTTCCCCTACAGAGTCTGTAGAAATGAGTGGTCGTTTTGCTGACATAGAGTAACAACAATTTGGTGATTTTTTCCCCCTCTATGTTCCATGAGGAATCGTGGGCAAAATGAAAATTCAACCTAGGTGTATAAAGGTGTTTTCTTTTGTTCTCTTCATTATTATTTTTTATTGAGATAACGTTGGTTTATAACATTATATAAATTTCAGGTGCCTGTCATTTTATTTCAGTTTGTATGTGGACTACATCATGTTCACCACAAAAAATCTGGTTTCCATCCATCACTGTAAAAATGTGTCCCTTTACCCCTTTTGCTCTCCCCCACCCCCCTTCCCCTCTGGTAGCCACCAATCTATTCTCTGTATCTGTGTGTTGGTTTGTTGTCATTGTTATTTTATCTTCCACATGTGACTGAGATCATACAGTATTTGTCTTTCTCCATCTGACTTATTTCACTTAATATCATACCCTCAGGGTCCAGCCATGTTGTCACAAATGGCAAGATTTCATCTTCTTTTATGGCTGAGTAGTATTCCATTGTATACAGATGCCACATCCTCTTTGTCCACTCATTCCTTGATGGACACTGGGTTGCTTTCACATCTTGGCTATTGTGAATAATGCTGCAATGAACATAGAGGTGCATATGTCTTTTTAAATTAGCATTTTCATGTTCTTTGCATAAATACCCAGACGTAGAATTTCTGGATTATATGGTAGTTCTATTTTTAATGTTTTGAGGAATCTCCATACTGTTTTCCATAGTGGATGCACCAGTTTGCATTCCCACCAGCAGTGTTTGAAGGTTCCCTTTTCTTCACATCCTGTCCAAAACTTGTTATTTCTTGTCTTTATTGTAGCCATTCTGACATTGTAAGGTGATATCTCATTGTGGTTTTGCTTTGCATTTCGCTGATAATTAATGATACTGAACATCCTTTTATGTGACTGCTGGTCATCTGTATATCTTCTCCAGAAAAATTTCTGTTCAGATCCTCTGCCCAGTTTTTGATTGGGGTTGTTTGTTATTTTGTTGTTGAGTTGTGTGAGTTCTTTATATATTTTGGATATAAACCCCTTATCAGATATAAGATTTGCAAATATCTTCTCCCAATTGGTAGGTTGTCTTTTTGTTCCGTTGATGGTTTCTTTTGCCTTGCAGAAGCTTTTTAGTTTGATGTAGTCCCATTTGTTTATTTTTTGTTTTGCTTCCCTTGCATGGGTAGACATATTCAAAAAGATATTGCTATGTCAAAAAGATACTGCTATGTCAAAGAGTGTACTCTCCATGTTTTCTTCTAGGAGTTTTATGGTTCAGGTCTTACACTTAAGTCTTTAATCCATTTTGAGTTAATTTTTGTGTATGATGTAAAATAATGGTCTAGTTTCATTCTTTCACATGTGACTGTCCAGTTTTCCCAACACTGTTTATTGAAGAAACTTTCCTTTCTCCATTGTATGTTCTTGGTTCCTTTGTTAAAATATTAGCTATCCAGGGACCAGCCCAGTGGCACAGTGGTTAAGTGCAAATGTTCTGCTTCAGTGGCCCGGGGTTCCTGGTTGGGATCCTGGATGCAGGCCTACACACCACTTGTGAAGCCATGCTGTGACAGACGTCCCACATATAAAGTAGAGGAAGATGGGCACAGATGTTAGCTCAGGGCCAGTCTTCCACAGCAAAAAGAGGAAGATTGGTGGCAGATGTTAGCTCAGGGCTAATCTTCCTCAAAAAAAAAAAAAAAATAGCTATCCATAAATGTAATACCCTTCTTTGTTACTTTGTCAAATGCTCCAGGGGTGTCCTCTGTGTGGGCTGCGTGTGCTCTTCTGTCGTGGCAGAGCTGCTATTGCTCTGGGTGCTTGGGTAGGCTGGGCTGGCCCCCAGGCTGGTTGGTTGTGAGGCCTGGCCACATGCAGCTGCTGTGGGCATGTTATTGGGCAGGACATGTCCCTTGCATGGCTGTCTGCAAGGTCTGGTTTCACACAACTACTGAGGGCTTGCTAGTGAGTGAGTCAGGCCCCCAGTGTGGCTGGTTGCTAAGCCTGGGTATGCACAACTGCTCAGGCCCCCAGTGTGGCTGGCTCCACGGCCATTGGTTTTCAAATCCAGGTGTTTTTGGATCTCATCTCTCTTGTGCTGGATAAAAGGGCTGGGGTAGCTAATGTGGAGATTGAGTCCTCTGCTCCTCTAGGAAAAGCTTTGTACCTTTGAGATTGCTCCTGACTGTGGAGCACTGTGGCTAGGGTGTGTTGTTTCCTCAAGTGGGCTGTATGTGTGCTCCTTCCACCTCTCTCCTTGTTCTCCCTTGTTGTGGAGACTCTTTTCATCCAGTTTCCAGATCTCTCTCAAAGGAAATTTGTTGTAGGATTGTTGCATCTGCTGGAGGAGGCGAGACCAGGATCCTCCTATGCCACCATCTTTCAAACTCTCAATCTAAAAATATTTGCATTAAATCCATATTAAGCAGGACAAATTTGTTCAGCAGGTGGAAGTATATTAAAAGCAGAGAAGTTATTGTATTAAAATATTTCTCTTTTCGTATATTTATTTTTATCACTTGTCATTAAAATTTTAATTTTTCTCAAATCTCTGTGGAATTATACCTCACGTTATTCAACGTCTTGGTCCGTTGGCTGATGCTGTTGAGTGAAAAGAACATTTCCTAGAGCTATTGTACCTTGAGTGGGTTGCAGGGAGGCTGAGCAGTCATACTCTGGGCTGAGAGTCAGAAATGCAATGTTTATCTTTAAAGGAAAGAAGATTGTTACATTAACAAAGAATCTTATATTGGGCCTTAGAAACTTTCCAAATAGAAAGAAGTGCCAAGATAATATCATATGTTTTAGAAAAACAGAAATGTCCATATTCATTAAGACTATTTCACATGGGCAGCTTTTGTTTACTGTATTAAGGATATAATATACATTATAATCCAAATACTACTAATCATAATGAATGGATGACAATTCCAAATGAAATTAAATTTTAAACAGA